CCTGGCCTTACTCCACCTCTCAGAGGACTGATGACACTCCCTCCCCCTGGGAAGGCTTCTTGACTTTCTACTTCCTGCTCTTGGAGTCTGGGTCACCTTGCTCTTCAGGTTTCCTGCTTCCTCCTTGGCTGCTCTCTTTCAGTCTCAGTTGTGGTCCCTCCTTGGCAGGGCCTCTGATTATTGGACCATTTTCCTTCCCTGTGTCCCCTGGTCTAATCCACTAACAAGCCAGTGGTTCCCACACTGGGTATCCCTGAAACATTTGCACATGGATGTCTACCAGGGTCTCTGTAATATACCATGACCAAAAGAGACTTGATTTCCCACCTCAAAAGTACTTCTCCTAGTCTTCGATAACTTGGGCAAAATAAATAAATAAAGAACTGTAGGTGGTATCCATGATTGTTCCTTTCCTCATCTACATACCCAGTTACAAATAATCCTAACCAAACTCATTGCTGTTGAGTCAACTTCAACTCATTGGGACCCTATAGTACGGCAGAGCAGAACTGTTCCTTAGTGTTTCTGAGACTGTAAATGTTTACAGCAACAGATAGCCTCAGCTTTTCCCCAAGGAGCAGTTAGTAGGTTTGAACTGCTAACCTGAAGGTTAGCAGCCCAATGCCTAACCCACTGTGCCACCAGGGCTCCTATAGGACAGATTAGAACTGACCAAAGAGTTTCCATGGATGTAACCTTTTTTTATTTTTGGAAACTTTTAATTGTGAATTGAGTGCAGGTTTATAGAACAGATCATCAGTTTTAAATCCAACGAATCATGCACTTTGTTTCATCTCAATGACTGCAATCCCTTCCATGTAACAACAGTTATCCCACTTCCTCCCTATTATTCTCATCTCCATTCCAACCTCCTCACCAACTCTTCTCAACTTTGCCCTTTTGATCTTTGATCTTGAATGGTTGACGATTCCATGATGGGCATACCTTGCTAGCGTTATCCTCCCAGTCTACCTATCTACCGCATGGCTTAAAATTGGACCACAAGGGTGAGTTCTGCTCCAGACTTGAAGGGTGAACAATGACCATCCTCTTGGATTCCTCGGGGCTCTTTCTGACCAGTAAGCCCGGTCTTCTTTCATAATTTTGAGTTTTTGTTCCACATTTTTTCCCACTCTATCCAGGATCTTCTAACATGATCCCTTTCAGAGCAGTTGGTAGTATTAGCCAGATATCACCTTGTTCTCGTCTCAGAGTTGTGAAGGCTGATATTCACATGTTCCATTAGTCCACTGGACTAATTGATTCCAAGTGTCTTCAGTTCTCATTACTCTCCTTTCCTCTGCACGTGGAGAGACCAGTAGTTGCACATTAGATAGCTCTGCTCATGAGCTTTTAAGATCCCAGTTGCAACTTACTATCTGTAGGTTGTTGACCATTGTCTTTGGGGACTATGTTATGCCAAGGCTGTAATCTTTTTGTTTTCTTTCAACTTTTTGTTATGAATTCAGTGAAGGGTTACAGAGCAGATTATCAATTTTACATTTAACAAGTCATATACTTTGCTTCATGACAATGAGTACAATCCCCTCCATGTACCAACATTTAGCAGTATTCACCTCTATTCACTTTAACCACTGCATTCCTCCCTGTGTCTGTCTACCACTACTGTCATCTTTCCTCTGCTAATCTCATTGTATATTGCCTGCTCTGTCACCCATGTTAACATGTGTCTACCCTCTAGTTACTGTTGTTGCTAAGAGCCATTGAATCAGTTGCAACTCATAGTGAACCTGTATAGGGTTTCTGAAGAGCATCCTGACAAGTTTACAATCACAATGCATTTCTGATCTATTCACTCTTCTCCATCCCAGCTGCTCCCAATAAGCATATAGCAGCTGTCACCTGGACTACCATCTGACTCCAGATGGGTCCATTCTGCATTGAAATCAGAGGATGCTTTATTTTGTACATATATTTTAAATAAACTTTGAATTTTACAATAATTTAGGTTAGATATAGCACCAAGAGTTCTCTTATACCTGGCATCCACTTTCTCCTGTTGGTTACATCTTAAATTGTTATGGTGTATTTCCCACAACTAGTTCACCAATATTAGCATATTATTCTTAACCAAATACCGTACTTTACTCAGATTTCATCTGTTTTTCCGCAATATCCTTTTTCCGTTGTAGGATTCCATCGAGGATCCTACATTGCATTTACTTCACACAATATTTATGTTACTCTTTGTTGTTGCTGTTAAGTGCTTTCCAATCAGTTCTGACCCATAGTGACCCTGCATAGGGTTTCCAAGGAGCAGTTGATGAGCTTGAGCCACCGACCTTGCAGTTCAAACCGATTTTGCAGTCCAGTGCATTAACTCAAAGCACAATACTAGGACGCCATATGCTAGGATGTGACAATTACTCAGACTTTACATGGGTTTTATGCCTTTTAAGTAAAAAGAATGGTCAATAGCAACAATGAAAAAGGGATATATTTTAAAAAGAAAATTGATACCACAACTGGAAAAAAACTCACTTTCCTATTGCCATTGTAGAAAAAAAAATGAACACAACAAATGAAACCATATTACTGAATCTAAAAATTGAAGCTAAAATATAACTAAAAATTCTCATTTTAAAAAAAGAAAACATTAGCTATTCTGTAGATGTCTTTCTGTTTGGGTTTGTCTGGTGCTTTGCTCATGGTTAGACTGGAGCTGGTGGGTTTTAGAAGGAAGATCACATCCAGGGTATCTGCAGTCAATGTGGCGTATCATGTGGCTGTGACCCTAGGTCACCTGCTGAGACCCTGTTGGCAGCTTTCTCCACTAGAGTTAGTTACATTCCCATCCCAGTCCATACTGTGTTCTTTGGGAGCAGTCACTAAGCACAGCCCACACTTAGGGGTGGTGGGTTATG